TCCTCTCTAACCTTAAAGTGCAATGCTGAGATTGGTTCCCCTTTAAATATCTCTATCTGTTTCTCAATATTTCTAAGAACTGTTTTAATAAGACTTTCTAAAACTTGTATCTTGGCACTCAGATTAACCAACTTCTTTAGTAATAAGAGAAAAAGCAATAAAACTGAAAAAGTTTATAGTTGACAGTACTATCTAAATCAGTTATTCCTTCATTTAATTGTCCCATTTTAAACCATCCAGTGTATTATTATACAGAGACCTAACCAACATTGTTAAAGTGTTTCTTTTTTTTTTTTAGGTTTTATGAGACAGAGTTTCTTTGTGTAATAGCCCTGGATGTCCTGCAAATCAAACTGTAGACCAGGCTGGCCTCAAACTCACCAGAGATCTGCCTGCCTCTGCCTCCCAAGTGCTCACTCTCATTTAAAAAAAAATCCCCCACCTTTAAAAATTCGCAATTGTCTCAGCAAAGCTGCCGCCGGTGATGATGTACACTACAATGGAGTGCAAAGCTGACTGCTGCTGAGGAGAGCAGTAGAAGCCTGAGTGGATTTCAAGGAGGGAATGTGGGGAAAACTCACACCTACCAGGAGAGGGAACCCACTGTCTAAAAAAAACGCACACCAGGGATCATGCGGGAAGAAAGCTGCCTAAAGGGAGAACCAGCTGCTGGTGAGGGGCTAACTCTGGCAGTGTTTGGAGCCCAAGCTTCTGAGGAGTTTGCTGCATGTAGACCGCAAAGAAATATCCCAGACCTGCTCAGAGGCTTAGGGAAAAGGAGAGGAGAACCTGACTGTCAGGGCCGTGACTCCAGCCATGAATAGCTCCAGTCTACAAGTGTGAATACAAAGCCTCAGGCAAGCAAGCGGCTTTTTTCATGAATTCACGCCCTAAAGTTGGAGCGCTAGATGTAGTGGGAATTCTAATTGGTCTTAATAAATAAAAACCCAGAGTCAGATATAGGGACAAGTGCAGAAAGATCAGAGAAGCAGAGCATCCAGCCATTAGAGATCTTCTACACCTCTTAACCAAAAAGAAAAGGAACTCCTGTCTCCACCTTGCTGTATCACCTCCTCTCTCTGCCCAGCCACATCACTGCCTGTCTATACAGACCTCCAGACCTCTGTGGTTAGCTAGTAGCAAGCCTCTCACTCTCGTCTTCAGGTAAGCTTTATTTGTTAGAGCACAAACAAAATATCAGCACACAGTGATTAAGAATGCTGTATGCCAAGTCTGAAGATTTGAACTGAGTCCCCAGAATTCACATGATAGAAGCTGAGAATAAGCTCCCACAAGGTATCCTCTGGTCTCTACCCACAAACCATGACAAATGTACACTCCTATACATACACACAGAGAGACAAACAAACAAATGTAAAAACATAGCTAAATAAAATTTTAAAAATGAGAAAGTATTATGATTCCTTCCAGGAATAATGCAGATCAAAAGGACCAAGAAAGAAGGAAGAAATAAGATGAGTTACATTAAACTGTGTCACATTTTAAGAATTTTTGGGTTCTCTGAAAGTGCTGGTGATTAACAGCAATAATTAAGACATGAGTAGTTGATGCTTGGAGAAATAGATCAATGGTAACAGTTTTCTGCACAAGAATGAAGACTTCAGCTCAGACCCACAGCAACCATAAAGAAAGGTGGATTAAATGGCATGTACTTGTAATGCCAGCATTGGGAGGTAGAGACAGTAGGATCTCAAGAAATCACAGGCCACCTTGTCTTGACTAATGAATGATGTAGGAGGTCCTTCTGTTTATGTGTTGCTTTCATTGGTTAATGAATAAAGAAACTGCCTTGACCTTTTGATAGGGCAGAACTTAGGTAGGTGGGAAAAACAGAACTAAATTCTGGAAGGAAGAAAGTAGAGTCAGAGAGTCATGAATCCACTGGAGATGGACCCTGGTTAGACTCTTTCCCAGTAAGCTACTACCACGTGGCAATATACAGATTAATAGAAACGTTTTAAATCAAGATGTGAGAGTTAGCCAATAAGAGGCTAGAGCTAATGGGCCAAGCAGTAATTTAATTAATACAGTTTCTGTATGATTATTTCGGGGCTAAGCTAACCGGGCTGTTGGGAAGAATAAGCAGGCTCCTTCCCCTGCAACAGATGAACTCAAAACTCAGTGAGAAACTCTATCTCAAAAAAAAAAAAAAAAAAAAAAAAACCAAGTTGGTGGATGATCAAGGAAGACAGCCAGTGTCAACCTCTGTACTCTAAACATGCAAACAAGAGTCTAAGCACCCTCATTTACACATGATCACACACACACATATGAGAGAGAGAGATTGCTGAGCTGTTTTATAGCTGTGTCTCCGTTGAAATTGTCTCATTCTCAAGAAGAAGGGACTGGGGACATGGTTCAGCGGATGAAGTGCTTGCTGTGCAGGCATGAACCCTGCAGGTCAGATCCCTATAGCCCATGTATAAAGTGAGTGGATATAGGTAACTCCAGCTCTCTCAAACAGAGACCAGGGATTTGCAGTGCAAACTGGCTAAAGTGAATAACTAATCTAACTTTATAGGCAAGCTCTAGGCTCAGTTGTGAGCACTGGCCTCAATGAACAAGGTCAAAGATAACAGAGGAAGAGTCTCGGCATCACCCTTGGACAGGCAAATGCTGTCTTTCACACTAGCACTGACCTGATAGGGGTCAAAAGATAAAAGGAAGATGAAATGGAGATATTGTCTTGCTACTTCACAGGTGGCAGAATGCAGGGATCACAAATTACATTAGATCTGTACTAAAGAGGTCTTCCTGGGATCCTAAAACTTGGAACCTATGGGAAGAACTGAAGGACAAAGAGGGGAGAAAAACAAGGTAAAAATAATAAAAGATAACCCTGAAGCCCCACCTTTTCATACAAAGAGTAAGAAATTTCATGATTCAACAAGCAGCTGGGGACCTAAAGAATAACCTATGACAGGACACTAGGAGAATCAAGGAGCATAACAGCCTGAATTGCTCTAATTGGAATTTTTAAACAAACACTAACAGAGACTCCCACCCCTAGTTCATGGGGCTGTGGGATGTGAGCATAACTGAATGAACCTGAGGACGCTGCGAGTGCACAGAGTAATAGAACTGCCTGTTCTCCTTGCGGTAGAGGTTACATAATCCAAGGCAACACAAGGTCATCATTCACTGGTGGACAGTCCCACAGGAACCATTAGGAACCCGTGGTCACCACATGGAAGGGTTCCATGATATAAAGAAGAAAGGACAGACATTACAGAGAGAATTGGGCACGAGATAGCCAGTATTCAATGCCCACCTTATTAGACCACATAGAACTGCGTTCATGAGAGAACTAGGAGGACACTGTCAGGTATGTGCTTGCTATGCTAACAAGGGGACATTTATTGGAATCTCCAGCATCCACATGGAACTTCAGAGGTTGAGAAACATGTTCAAAACCTAGTCCTGGGAGTATGGGAAGAAGAACGTTCCTGGAGCTTGCTGCAGAGCCCATCTAGCTGAGTCAGCGGGCTCCAAGTTCAAGGAGAGACCCTGTCTCAAAAAATAAGATGGAGGAGCAACTGAAGAACAGCAAATGTTTTCCCTTTTGTCCCTTAATTTTTATGCCTATACATTTGATGCTATATTTCCTTGGTTGTATTTTAATTTTCTGTCTCCTCTTTTGTTATTTTAAGATCTATTTTATTTTATTAATTATTTTATTAATTGTGTGCATGTGTGTTTATCTATGTGATATATGCTATTTGGAGGGTTGCATAGGCCAGAGGCATGAGAATCCCTGGAGCTGGCTTGGCAGGTGGTGTGAATCACCTGATGTGGGTGCTGGGAAGAAAACCCTGCTCCTCTGAGAGAGCAGCAGGTGCTCTTTAACCCAGAGCCATCTCTCCAGCACCACCCCTTAAATGTTTATCTGATTTTTTTGTCTTTATTGTATAACCGTTTTTTAACTCTCATATTCACCCTTTCTCTTTCTGCTTCAGTTTAGTAGTATTTGACTTTATCTTGTCCCTTTTCCTTTAAAAAAAAAATGTTATAAAGCTGATAAAGCATTGGAAGTGTCCAGGTGAGACATGGATGGGAATTTGCTTAGTGTGAACTTCAGAAAATAATTCCTCAAACAAGAGGTCTAGAGGCCTTGTGTGAGCTCTATATTATTCCAAGAGTATTATATTAACTCTGAGAACAACTGTAACTGTATGAAACTACCACTATGTAATTGTCATGAACATAATTATTAAGCTACCTCCAAATGAGTTATTGTTATACCCATAGAATGGATATGGATATAATGATATAAGCCATGGATATAATGATACAAGGCATCTCTCAACCCTCATCGTGGAGGCTTGTGTTTGCAGCAGATGATCATCAACCCAGACCAAGACACAGAGACTAGGACACAGAAGACAATCCAGCCCTAAATGGAATATATTAATGCTTCTTCTAAAGGCACAGGAATGGTTGTGGGAGAGAGGATGACAAGACTGAAAGAGCCAGAGTTGGTGGATGGTGACAGGGAAGCAGTGTCTTCTGCACACAGCACGGCAGCTCCACTTATGAACTCACCATGGTTGTGACAGCAGGTGTAAGACCTGCCAAGCCCGTGCTGGACTGAATAGCAGCATAGACAGGGGAATTGAGAATGAGCAGAATTAAGAAATGTGAATTTACAACCATGAGAAATTAAAGGGGGGTAAAATGAGTATTTTCTTGAATGAGACAAAAAAAATGACCTCTGCACAGGACTTGGGACAATGTTTTGTGTAACCAGTTCAGGTTGCATTTGTGAAGTCAGGGATCAGAAAAAATGCCTTTCAAGGGTTGTGTTCCTGCCTATCTAGTCAGATACTTGCCCATGTTGCCCCGATTCCAAAGGTCACATTCCACTCTGTTATTATTTTATGACTGTCCATCATTTGCTGCCAAGAAATGAAGAGATAATAGAATGAAAAACAGCCAATACTTTCACTTTCTCTTTCTTCTTCTCCGAAGGGTAGGGGATTCAAAAAAACAGCAAGATCCATACGCTTAGATGATTGGTAAAAACACACTGAGAGGAAAGGGGCAGAAGTCAGAAGAGTGATAAGTCCCGCCCTGCTGACTTGAACCTGCTGCTTTTCCACAGAGGAAGCAGAGAGGGGATACAAGAGAAAAGACTGTAGGACAGTGGAGCGTGGTTCCTGCAGCTGAACCCAGTGAGGAAATCCACTGGACACAGGATAATCTGGTAAGTGGACAGCAGTATTCAGATCTACCTTGAACCCTCACCATCTCTAAAGAGATGACAGGTAACGGGACTTTTAGAAACATGCCCTGAAAGTGAGGGGCCTCAGTTTGGAAGATCAGGAACTTTGGTGGGAAGCAGGCAGGATTGGTTTGTGGATGGTCTTAGCCAATCATTCATTGAGGTAGACATAAAGGAAACAATCTCAATATTTATTTTGGTAAAAACTCAAGCTGTTTTGGCTTGTCTCTTATTCCTCTCCAAAAAAAAAAAAATGGTTGTTAATAAGTAATGGAGTATCTCTGCATTGTGTAGGAAGTTTATTAAATATCATCTAAAATTGCTTCCTAATTCATGGTCAACTATGTAATTCCTTACATCCCAAGGCCTCCGATCTGTGGAGAAGAGGTCTCTCTGCGTACTGCTTATGCTGCAGCTGTCTGTGGAAATCTGTGCCTGAAAAATCTTCTTTACTGTGGTTTTCTTTATTGTAAAGCAGGAGTGTTAAGGAGCTTCCCTCCATCTGTGAGGGACATGATCTCTGTCAAGGAGTGGTGGCAGCTGTCATTTAGGCAGGCATCATTTTTTTTTTACTTTTTATTTACTTATTTTTTTATTACTTAAAAGAAATACCAATCCAAATTCCCACTCCTTCCCCTCCTCCCAGTCCCCTCCCTCTCCCTCCACAAGCCTCCCACCCCACCCCTTCAACCCTAAGGGAGTGCCATGCACCCTGCCCTGTGGAAAGTCCAAGGCCCTCCCTATTAAATCGAGGTTGAGCAAGATTACATCCAAAGAGAATAGGATCCCGTGAAGCCAGTATATGCAGTAGAGACACATCCCAGTGTCACTATTGATGGCCCCTCAGTCTGCCCCAGCTGTCAACCCCCTTCAGAGGGGCTTGGTTGTTCCCATGCTCATTCACTCCCAGTCCATTGGAGTTGGTGAGCTACCATTAGCTCATGCACACTGTCTCAGTGGATGAAAGTGTGGCACATCCACACATTAGAGTACTACTCAGCAGGGGAAAAAAAAGACAACTTGAATTTTGCATTCAAAGGGACAGAATTAGAAAACATTATCCTGAGTGAGGTAACCCAGACCCCAAAAAAACGAATATGGTATGTACTCACTCATAAGTGGATACTAGTCATAAACAAAGGGCAACGAGCCTATAGTTCAGGATCCTAGAGAAACTAAGTAATAAGGTGAACCCAAAGAAAAACATATGTAGACCCACCTGGAAATTGGAATCAGACAAAAATTTGGGAGCAGGGAGGCAGGGGATAGAAGGAAGGGGAGAAGGGGCTTGAGGAGAACTTGAGGGAATGGAATAATTGTGATGGAAGAAGGACAGATACGAGAGCAAGGAAAGAGATATCTTAATTGAGGGAGCCATTACAGAGTTAGCAAGAAATCTGGCTCTAAAAAAATGCCCCAGAACCCACAGGGATGACCCCAGCTAAGACCCTAAGCAATAGAGGAGAGGGTCTCTGAACTGGCCTTAACCCAGTAGTCAGACTGATGATTATCTTAAATATCACCATAGAAACTTCGTCCAACAACAGATGGGAACAGAGGCAATGACCCACATCGGTTCACTGGACTGAGCTCCTGAGATCCAGTTGAAGAGTGGAAGGAGTGAGAATATAGGCAGGCATCATATTGTAATGCCTGCTCTGTCACAGCCTTCTCGTTCCCTGTGTTCATACTCGGTGGAAAGACCTTGCAGACAACTGTCACACTGGAGTCTGCATCACAGATCCTGGAGCTAGAACTAAAAGAATGAGAGAGAAAAACTGAAGATGAGAACAGCTCGTGTGTTTCAGGGACATGCTGTCTGTGTCCTGTGGGTGACTGTCACCTTCAACAGTAAATGAGGCTATGTAGTTTATCTAATCTTGTTTAGCTTCCCTTTCAGGACAATCTTTTTACCACCTCTTCCCATCCTGTGCCTGCAGCCAGACTGAACAAAGTTCTGCAGCGCTGGTTTCTTGCACAGCTGTCCCCATTTGTCTTGTAGATTGGAGAGGGGCTGTATGTGTTGAGTCTGTTTGCACTGTGCTCATACACAGTAAGATTCTAAGAACACCTCTGTTTTGTATTACACTGTTTTATGCTCTCCCCAGACTGTTGGCACCCACTGTCTATGAATCTACTAAGACTTCAGGTTCCCGCTGAGCAGTTAAAACTACAGAACAGACACGAGTGTTCACAGTAAACTCCAAGTGTTTTCCTCACAGCCCCCTTTAATAGCCTGGTGATATATCTGCGTGTTAATGGTGAAGACGTGAACAAGACAAAAGCACTTTCTGCTGTGTGAGGTTCACTATACTGTGGGAGGGTAACAGCAAATGAACGACAAATACACACTATGCAGCAACAAGGGCTATGGAGAAACTGAAATATAACGAAAGGATGGCAAATGATAAGAGGAAGGCGTATTTGTACATCCCAATGTGAATATAAATCCTGAATCCTGCCTAATTGAAGTAGGACCTAGAGAAATGTAATTAATATCTGTGTGGTTACTGGGAGAGAACAAAAAGACACAGAAGCAGTTGCAAGGTTCAAAGTGATGAGACGAGAAGACAGCCCAAGATACCAGGGGTCTGGAATCCAGACACCAGAGGCTCCAGAAATGTAATAAGTATTCAAAGGTATAATGTATGGAGCATGTGCACTGTATACCCAATGAATGTTCCCTGGTGGAAATGGAAATCTTTGTGGTGCCTGTCAGAATTGCCTTGACATGGTATGACGTCAGTGTCACTAGGATAACTCTGGCTGATTGATTATCCATGTTATTGCAGAAACAATCCCAGGAAATATAGCAATATCGATGACATAATCAACGCTGGATTTGAGGAGGTCTTGCAGAGGGTAAAGGAGGAGGAATGATCAATTGTAAGTGGATTAGGAAATAGAGCCTAAGCCTGTGAACTAATTTGATGTGGGAGAGAGAGAAAGAGGAGACTCCAAGGTGACAATGGGGATTTGCGGTTTCCATAACTGATTGTGAGGTCCATTGTGCTGTCGTGCGAGGTCTTGTAGGCAGGTTTGTGGAAAATAAAGGGTAGAAATATGAGATCTGTGCTAGCTAAATGCTCAACAATTATACTCAGGTCCTTAGACCTGGCAGCAAGTGTATTTACCTGTTGAGCCTTGTAATGAACTTGAGCCCAGGTTAGCCTCTAACTCACTACCAAAGATGACCCTCTTACTCTGAGTTCCAGAATTACAGGGATCCACAAGCACCTACATTTGATGAGAATTGAACTCAAGGCCTTATCCATGCTGGGAAAACTCTCTACCAATTGAACTACATCTCCAGTGCTCAGTTAGACTGCTTTCATAAAAGAAAAGGTTTAAAAGAAAATAGTGAATCTAAATGATGACTTGAGGACACAAAAAATATTGTTTTAAATAAACTCATTTTAATGCAAAGTTTAAGGTATAGAAAGTTTTGTATTATTTTATGTTTATATTCTTCATGGAGATGAGTTCCATGTCAGGAAAATGATAGAAGAAAAGTAAATCTAGGCAAAATTAGAATTATTTCAGCAAAACACAATAACTGAACTTGCTGAAATATTTTTGAAAACAAAATAACACAGACAAAACCAGATTTGTGTGATCATTCGAGAGATTTGTCATTGATTAAACACTGATGTCAATTGCCATTTGTTGTTATTTATTTTTCAGTGTATAAAGCTAGATGTATGTTAAATTTCTATTCATTTGAAAGCAAACACTGAGGGTAGTGTGCACAGATGGTAACGACATCTCAGATTTCAAACAAAATATTCCAGTTCTAATTAGATGCAACAAAGTTACTCATGATTTAATACTTGATTACTTGATGATGTTGGCAAAAGGATACCTGTACATTTTATATTATTTTTATTTACTTAAGTATTATTTTTTCTTTAATGAAGGGTTTAATGAGAGTTAGTAAAATTTGGTTTAGTTTCTTTTCTAATTATAATATAAACACTATGACAAAAAGAATTTCTAAAGAAAAGGGGTTTTCAGGCTTACACACTCTGCTCACAGTCAATCACGGGGGAAAGTCTGGGCAGAAACTCTGCAGGAGTAGAGGCAGTATCAATAGGACATGATGTGACATTTTATTTGTTTTTTAATAAATAAAGCTTTCCTGAAGATGAGAGAATAAAACAGCCTCAATGATCAACCTTACAAGACCAGGCAGAGGTAACACACACCTTAAATCCCAGTAGCCACATTAGATGCCATAGAAACCAGGCGGTACATGTCGTTAAGGCCAGTGGTGTGTGCCTTTAATCCCAGCCTAGAGAGGATTATAAAATGGGAAGAGACAGCTCTCAGACATAATCTCTTTCTGAGATTCCTGGAAGCAAGATCACCATTTCAGACTGACGTAGACATAAGAACCAAATGGATGCCTGGTTTGTCCTTATGACCTTCAGGTTGTGGTGCAAGACAATTCTGTATTCTGCCAATTATGTGTGATTTTCTTTGGGGCATAACGGCTGCAGAAACTGGGCAGGACAGAAACTCCAATAAGCAGGTCCTCATGTTACAATGTTGAACCCCAGTTTCTTTCTCTGAGTTTTTAATTAATTGTGCTTCAAGGAGAATATTGTTTACTATCTTGCTCCCAATAGTTTGATAATGCTTTCTTAAATTACCCAGTTCAGGAGTGGTACCACCAAGAGTGGGCTGGAAGCTCCCACATCAATATTCAATCAAGAAAATAGCACATAAGGATGCTCGTGGGCATCTAATGGAGGCACTTCTTCAAATGAGATTTTTCTCCTCCAAAAGGACAGCAGCTTATATCTTGTTGACTGAAAATAATCAGCAAATGAACTTGCCTAAAGGTGAGATGGTCCTGCAGGGTTCCTGCTTCATGAAAGAGTCTGCCAAACATTCGGCAAGACACCGAAGAAAGTGACTGACAAACTGCCAATATAGGTAGAATTGTCTTTGAAATTTCCTGTTTTATTGAAAAGTCTGCTGGATATTATGGGCTTGTAGGCTGAAGATGGATGCCCCAACAATACAGAAAAACTTTGAGTAACTGTCCAGGCAGCAAGAAGTCTCTGTCATCTTGATAGATTTGGAAGTTGCTTACAATGCACTTCCTGTTTATTTAGGTAATAGTATATCCTTCTGGAGTCTTTGATGGAGTTGAAGAATATGATAAACAATAAAGTAGATATAAATACTGTAATTGTATTTCTTGCTTGATACCTGTCTTGCTGTATGTAATTTTACTATGTTAAAGTTAAAATCTTCCTTTTTATTTAAACAGAAAGGGAGAAAAGGTGTGGGAAGTCCTTCTATATATGTGTTGCTTTTATCAGTTAATGAATAAAGAATCTGCATTGGCCTGTGGGGGAAAAAAGAAAAGAATCAGCATAAAATATATGGTTAACATCAGAACACATCCGAGATTGCAACATAGAGAACTCAATGTTAAGCATAAAGGCATCTTGAATATCTTGCAACTTACTCTCCCTTCCTTCTTTCAGGGCCCTTTTATCAACAGTCATGGATCAATTATTCTCTGATACATCTAAGAATGAAGACCATGGAGATTTGGAGTCCAGCTTTACTGCATATTTTAAGAAAACCAAGAAAGAAAGCAAAATCATTACTCAGGAAACCATTGATTCAATTGAGTTACACCTGACAAGAGGAAATATTCAGGGGGCAAACTCTGTAATCAGGGATGCATTAAAAAATATTGATAATGCCCCAATAAACATTGCTGTCACTGGAGAGTCTGGAGCAGGGAAGTCCAGCTTCATCAATGCCCTGAGGGGGGTTGAACCTGAAGAAGAAGGTGCAGCTGAAGTTGCGGTGGTAGCAAGAACTATGAGGAGAACTCCACACAAACACCCCAAAATTCAAACTTTGACTTTATGGGACCTGCCTGGCATTGGAACTCTGAACTTTCTACCAAAAGATTATCTGGAGAAAATGAAATTCCAAGAGTATGACTTCTTCATTATTCTTTGTGCCAAACATTTTACAAAACTTGAACTAGATCTTGCCAAAACAATCAGACTTATGAAAAAGAATTATTACTTTGTGAGAACCAAGGTGGACCTGGATTTAGACAATGAGAAGAAATGCAAACCACGCACCTTTTACAGAGCAAAGACCCTGCAGAAGATCAGAAGCATGTGTGTGAACACCTTCAGTCAGAATAACATGGATGTATCACAGATTTTCTTGATTTCTAACAGACATTTATCTGACTATGATTTTCCAGTCCTGATGGACACCCTGGTAAAGGATCTTCCTGCTCAAAAGCGCCACAATTTTGTTCTTTCCTTACCTAATATTACAGAACCAGCCATTGACAGAAAGCACAGCTCTATGCAGCAGACTGTCTGGTTGGAAGCCTGCAAGGCTGGATTTTTAAATACTGTTCCTGTAGTGGACATCCTCAGGGATGATGTGGAGGAGTTGAAGGTGAAGTTAAACCACTATCGAGTCCTCTTTGGAGTGGATGATGAATCCTTGCAAGTCATGGCTAAGGATTCCCAAGTGCCTCTTGAACAACTGAAAAAAATTATTAAATCTCCTTATTTGTTAGAAACTAAGAAAGAAGAAACATTCGGAGAAATGTTTTTGAAATATTTGGAGAAACTTGCCTTAGGTAATGGTGGGCTCCTAGCTTCATGTATTTACTTTAGGGAAACCTTTTACTTGCAATTTCTGTTCCTTGACACAGTGACTGAAGACACCAAAGTTCTCCTTAGAGAGACAAATTTAAGAAAGCAGTTTAAACTCAACTCACCACAGCTACTGACCATGACAAGAACAAACGATTACTATCAAGAAGTCATTAGATGAATTCCCCCCTCTGACATATTTTCTTTAGCCAAACCACTATCACCATGGAGACACCTAAAGATATGGACCACACTTCTTACTTTGTCACAGTCTGACAACCCAAGTCCCTCTTCCCCTCTCTGCCTGCCTCTCTGTCTTTCAACTCTACCTGTTGTGAAATATTCTTTTAAGTACGCCAAGATGTGTTACATTTGTTTATGCTGCAGAATATTACTTTAACTGTGTAAAAACCATGGTACATTTTCTCATTCCAACATGGGGCCAGTACTTTTATGTAGGGCCTAAGAAAACTGAGGGAAAAAAGAACAAAAAAGAAGTTGTATGCTAAGCAAAAATAGTCAAAGTTAGGATCAGCATTCAAAGCTAATAATTCTGTGTCATGGATTGGGAGCTAATTAGTGGCCCCAAAGAAAGAAAGTCTGGTACATTAGCCTGCACACTTGAATACACACACACACACACACACACACACACACACGCACATGCACACATCTACAAATGGACACATACAATGCCCAAAATGTACAAGCACATACAAAAGATATGAATAAGTTCTTTGTATCTAATTCCTACTAATCAGCTAATCAAACATTCTAATGGAGGACTTGCCATGCATGTATGAGGACCAGAGCTTAATTGCCAGAACCCATATAAATGTTCAGTGAGTGTGGCAGCCACCTTGTACTTCCACACTCAGAAGGCAGAAACAGTGCAACCATGGAGCATGTTGACTTGCTGGACTGTGTTGATCTACAAGCTCGGGATTCATTTGAGAGAACCTGCCTTGGTGAAAAGGGTAGAAAGTAACTTAGCAGGAGACCCAACATAAGCCTGACATGTCCACACACACGTAAACATGTACACCCCACACAGGGACACATTTTAAATATAAAATAATATTTAGGAAGTAAAAAAATCACAAGTCTTAGAAAGTATAGAAACATAAAAGTTTCATGAAGCTCTCCTCAAGGTTAACAAGTAGTCTGTACATTGTCATAGTTTTTATCTCTGTTGATGGGATTAAACACTAGCTGTTGGTACAAAGTCAGTGAAGGAAGCTTGTGAGGAGATTCCTGAGAGCTTGTGAGAAAACTCCAGGACAAAGACAAAAAGACAAAACCACCTGGCTAAAACCACCATAAAATTTACATATTTACATACAAGGGTCTTGTAACTTCTATTCTTTCATAGCATGAATTTTTTTTTGTGGAATGCACTGCCGTGCCTTTCTGAGGTGGAATAAACAGGAATGGGTCTTACTGTAGATTACCCATCATCTTACCTCTAGTATTCAGGATGATGTTTCCAAACAGAAGTTGTCCTCCTGACTCTATACTACATAAACCAAGGTGAGCTTGCCTTTGTGATTGATCATAACTTGAACTCAAGTGAGCTTTGTTCACATGATCTTGCTTGACCCACAAAATGCCCTCAGAATATAAATTGTCTGATTCCCTGAATAAAGTTGGTTATTGCATGAGACTTTAGATCACCTCATTTTTAAGCCCCACTCTCCCAAGTTCATGCCCCCAAATACAGCAGAAACACTAACTAAGTCACCCTTAGGGAGGAAAGTATTTAATTGGCTGACAGGTTACAGTCTATCATCAAAAGAAGTCAAGGAACTGAAGGAGAAACCGGGAGGGAACACTGCTTACTGACTTGCTCTCCATGGCTTATTCACCCTATTTTCTCACACATCCCAGGACCACATTGTTGTTCCTAATTTCTGGCTGGCTTTCTTGTCTGCGGGCTAGAGGGTAAAGACATTACGCGAGGAAGAAGACACAGACACGCGGCGGTCCCACGTGGGTGCACTTTTAATGGGGAAGGGGTAACAGCGGGCAGGTAAAAGGTGTGCGAACACAACAGGAGAGGCGGGGAAGAAGAGAGAGAGAGCTTGTGGAGGCCCTTGCTTTTTAACGGGGAATGCAAAGGCTTCTGGGAATATGTCCATAGTCCAGGAGAATGCTGGGAGCTGTAGTTCCGCAAAGGAACAACACACATTCCTAGAGATGGCACTCACCACAGTGGGCTGGCTCCTCCTACATCATTTATCAATCATGAAGATTTGGACTCCGGCTTCACTGCTTATTTAAAGAAGTTTAAGGCAGAGAACAAAACCATTTCCCAGGAAACTGTCAGGTCAATCGAGTATTTTCTGACAAAAGGAAATATTTGTGGTGCTAAATCTGTAATGAGTGATGCGTTAAGAAAATATTGATAATATCCCATTAAGTATTGCTGAGATGGAAGAGTGTGAAGCAAGGATTTCCATGGATTACCTCCATCTATTGTGATTGGAAGTTTGGCTGGGTATATTAGTATGGGCTGGCATCTATGTTTTCTTAGAGTCTGAACAACATCTATGCAGGTCCTTCTGTCTTCTAGGGTCTCCACTGAGCAGTCTAGTGTTATTCTAATACATCTGCCTTTATATGTTATTTAGTTATTTTTCCTTGCAGCATTTAGTATTCTTTCTTTATTCTGTACATGCAGTATTTTGATTATTATCCACCAAGGGGACTCTCTTTTCTGCTCCAGCCTACTCGGAGTTCTGTGTGTTTCCTGTATCTTGATAGGCATTTTCTATGGCTTTGTTGAAAATATTTTTCTGTGCCATTGACATGGGTTTCTTCTCCTTCCTTTATTCCTATCATTCTTAGATTTGGTCTTTTCATTGTGTCACAGATTTCCTGAAAATTTTTGTCAGAATTTTTTCTTTTTTATATTTAATATTGTCTTTGACCAAGTTATTCATTTCTTTTATCATCCTTTCAATGCTTGAGATTCCTTCTTCCCTCTCTTGTGTTCTGTTGGTGACGTTTAATTAACATTAAGCATGAGACTTCCCTTCATCAGCATCCTGTTGCTTAGGTAGAGGGATGACTCAAGTCAGCTACACTTGGTCAACACTTGATTACATAGGCAGAAAGCACCTCCTCCCCAGGTAGGAGCAGAGGTACATTAGCATATCCTGACCACCTGTCAGGATGGCACTGAGTTTACTTCACTTCAAAAAGGGGCCAGGTGGCCACCTCCTGTGCTAGAAGGCGTGATTAAGCCTTGTTATTCCCCAAACTGCCTGACCTTCAGATAAGGTGGAAAATGGACCTGCACTTCTTCACTGATATTAGAACAATCATTTCTAGGCTTCCATATTGGATTCTGCATCAGTGGCTTTCAAGGAAGATTCCAGAATTTCAGTGTCAGATTGGGACCTTGGAGTTACCCAGTCTTATGGTCTAAACAATTGTGGGGTAGTTGACCTGCCTAGTAGGAGACAACCATTGTGGGACTACCTGAACTCGTGAGGCATGCCCCATCAAATATGGAGCCAGCAGCAAGTTCTAAACCTCTTAACTGTGATTTATGTGTTGATACTATTACAATGTAAGCTGCCTTAATAAATTATTGCATACTATGTGTTATTCTTTCTGTCCCCGCCCTAGCCACGCCCACTCCTTTTAACCTCTAACTTTGCCCACCATCGCTCTCTCTTCCTGCTTTCTCTCCCGGTGTACACACGGGGCTTTGCCTCTCTCCTCCTCTCTCTCCCTCCTTTTCTCTTTCTCTCTCTCTCTCTCTCTCTCTCTCTCTCTCTCTCTCTGTCCCTTTCTCTCTTTTTCTCCTTTTTAATAAATACTTATGGCTATTTCCTGTGTTTATATGTCTGTTACTCACCGCCACCGCCAGTGCAGTGGGAAACTAGCCACTTGCTCTGGTGCTGGACTCTAGAGCCTGCGCCCAGCACCGCTGGAGACCCGCCGAAGTTTGCTGCTGTTCTGTGAGCCCGCCGGGCGGGGGGGGACCCCATATATTTTTTAAGAATAACACTATGTATGTATAATATACATATATTCATTCCATTGATTTGTTCCTAAAGAGAACCCAGAATAATTCCAAAGGGGTTTGCAGAACACAAATGGTATGAAGAGGGGGGTGATAATGGGGATGATTTAAGTAGGCAGGAGCATGCAAGGGCAGGGTGGAAGAGGAAGGGGAGTTGGGGAAGGAATCAATAACTGAGGATATCTGAGAACACTATACTGAATCCTACTTTTAATGTGTGCTTAAGGAGTTTAACTGTATTAGGAGTGAGGGGGTAATGCTCATTCAAGAAGACATAGCTCATCAAACAGAAGCTCAGGGCCAGGTGTGGGATACCTCCCCTTGAGTTATTGATCAGGGAGTGAGGTCCCAGAGACTGCCAAGCAATGCGGTCTATTGCTATCATTCTTGATTCACCTGAACCTGGTGGTGGGATTCTATCACTGAAGACACCATCCACTTAGTCACAAGACATTGAGAACTGATGGTACTAGCCAGAGCTTCCTGACATCTGGCTAGCTTTGACAGTATTGGAGGGTGCTATGCAGGCTGCTGAGGGAGAGCAGTCATAAACAGTGTTACCTGACTGAGGATTTGTTCAAAGACCAGTCATATGCGAAGAACACTTGCCGTCCTCTTTTGAAGAACTAATGGCATCTAAATTGACTATCACCCCATGAAATCATTGCCCAAAGACCTCCGATGAGTTGTCATTTTCAGCTTATTTTATTGTATCTTATCATCTGGCTTTACAGAGCCTAGTCACTGTCATGTCCTTATATCCCAGGGTTCAGAGTCACTACTACAGCAAGCCTCATCACTGAGGGTCTGAAATGCTATCTTCTGGCAACTATGATTCATGCTGTAATAGAGTCCTGTTCTACCAAGTGTGAGTTTCTGGAACATCCTTTTTCTGTTAAAGTCATGCCAGTGCTGTGCTCTGTTCCATAGGGACAAATTTTACCACATCCTTTCTCCTGGAAATGAGCAACTAGCAATATTGTCTGATTCCACCATCCGGTGTACACGCATATGTGTGTGTGTGTGTATGTGTGTTTGTGTGTATTTGTGATCTGTACTGTCCTGAGCTTTAAGAATGAATAGAAACCTCAAGTCCCAGTTGCCACAGACCCTAAGCACAGGATTATCACTCCACTGCAGTTTTAAACACATGTGCCCTAGAATGAAGTGTGGCTGTGGTTTCTACCTTTTTCATCAAGGAAGGTCTCTCATCCTACCCACTACTTGGATGCCTATACAATCTAGCTAGCAAGCTTGCTCCATGGTTCCACATTCTCTGGTTTTTGAGGGCGGGATTATGAGGTGGCTACCACATCCACTGCATTCTGCAGATTGAGCTCTGGTTCTCATATCTGCATGGCAAGTGCCTTATGCACTGTGTGTGTATGTGTGCTTGTGTGTATCTTTGTGTGTGTGTGTGTGCGCGCGCGCACGCGTGCGTGCACTCGAGGTTACACACATGCTCATGCACACACACACACAAGTAATTGTAGATGCCTGGTAAGGTCAAAGACTTTGGAAACCTGTGAAGCTCTGGGGCTTTGAGTAGTTTCCCAGTGTGGGTACAGAGTGACAGTTAAAGTTCAAAGTGTCAGCCTACTAGGAGGTAACTCACTGATGAGTGAATCCCAGATAGGATAGGCCCTGAGACCACAGACCCCAGAATGTCTTTTGCTTCTGCTGTGCCTTTATATATTTGTGGTGCTATCTTTCTCTGGTATTTGATATGGTGTGGATGGGTGTGGGTAGATCTCCACTGGCTATAATGTAGTGTGTTTATCTCATGAAAACATTCTGCTCTTCTGGGTATTTTACCTGTGGGTTATTATGAAGATGATTTCTTCCTAAGCTGTACTGTCTAATTGATAATAATAGTGTTAGTTTAAATAGAGCTTTGATGATTAAAAATTAAATAAGGATGTGTCGCACAGCTAGGAACACATGACTTTATATTGAAGAACCATATAGACTGTGATTTAAGTTAATGATTAAGAAAATTAATTGAGTCCCAGTAGCCCAACTAGTTTAAATTCTTTTAATCTTAATGTTGGGAGATGTGCTCTCAGGTTTCTGGGTGCACAGCTGAAACAGGCTTTGAAAATAACTTAAAGTTAGACTAAGATGTTTCTGTTAAATAGTTTTGAGGTGAAAAATCCAGAAAGACAACTAAGACTCCTTCTGAAGTCTTTGGTGGAGTTGAAGAATAAATAGTTATAGTTTTCCTTAGTTACGATAAAAGATAAAATAGATATAAATATTGTAACTGTAATTCTTGATTGATAACTGTTTTGTTACATGTGATTTTACTATGTTAAAGTGAAAGCCTTTCTTTTTTGTTTAAACAGAAAAAGGGGTAATGGAGGGCCTTCTGTCTATGTGTTACTTTCATTGATCAAATAAAGAAACTGCCTTGCCCTTTTGATAGGACAGCAGCTTAGATAGGCAGAGTAGGCAGAACAGAATGCTGGGAGAAAGGAGAAGAGACAGAGAGCCTCCACCATGAAGCTGCCAGGTTAGACATGCTGAATCTTTCCCTGTAAGCCACGAGCTCGTGGTGACATACAGATTATTAGAAATCGGTTAAATCAATATATGAGAGTTAGCCAATAAGGGGCTGGAGACAATGGGCCAGGCAGTGTTTAAATGAATACAGTTTCTGTGTAATTATTTCAGGTGTAAAGTTGGCGGGAAGCAGCCCGCTGCTCTCCTTTTACAGAATGGCCCCACGTTGGGCACCAAGTGTAAGTGTTGGCATATTAGGATAGTACGCTAAATAACCAGACCAGCTCAAAACAACAGATATAATTTAATAATTAAAAAACAGGGAAACTCACGCTACCAGAGTGGAAGGTCCGAAGTCCAAATGGGTCTGGCAAACACCGTGTAGAGAGCATACGCACCTATCTACCCTATTTTTCTACCTGGGCTCCAGGTGGCCACATCCTAGCCAGATGTGATTGGCTGAGCTTCCAGATCACATATTAACAATACAGCATAATGGCTTCTGCCTTCCAAATGCAGTCAGGCAGGTTCCTGATTCAGCCCTTAACTTATGTGTATCTGTCAACTCCTTGAGAGAGGACTGTCTTAAATAAGGTCATTAAGTAGCAATGATGCTTGAGTTGTTTGTCTGACAGGTGACTGAACGAGTCACACATTTTGCAGAGCACAGGTCCTGATTACGATGACCAGTAGATGTAGCATTAGAGGGCTGATGAAGTAGGGGGATCATCTTAGTCAAATTGGCCAGTGAAAATTTGTTTGGGAGATTTTGTCTATTTCTTTTTGTGATGATCAATTTGGTTGTCAATAGTATGAAAAAAATCAGAGATATTAAATAGCACACTCCAGTAAATTGTTGACAACCAAGATTATGTTTAAGTAACAGGAAGTCTATAGTAGGTCTATTTTGTAGAACAGTTGTCCTCAATCTTCTCATTTCTTGATTAATGTTGGCGAATATTACTGCTGCAATATTAGCAGCTTTTGAAATTAGACAGGCTATTTTGGAAACCTCTTCCTGTCTCCTAGGGTTGGGTTTTTTTAAAAAAAAAAAAAGGCCACAGTGGCAAAAACTATAGTGGGATCTAATAAATGTAAGGAATCATTGCAATTTTCAGGAAGAGTTCTTGTGATTCTATTAACCGATTGTAAAGATTTCTTGAATAAAATAGGGGTAACACATTTCATCCCACATAAACCCTTATACCCAGCAGAGAGTGAAGAATAAGTATCTTTTTCTTTTTCAGGAAAAGTCTATCCTAAGGGCAATTGTATTAAGGTTGGATGAAGCAGGATCCCCAAAGCAGGCAAAGTGGCAGGATACAAGGTTAATACACAAAAATGAGTAGCCTTACTATATACATATGACAAACAATCTGAAATAGAAATTGGGGAAGCAATCCCATTCAAAATAGCTTTACCAAAAAAGAAAAAAGAAAAGAAGAAGAAATGCCTTGGAATACAGCTAACCAAGGCAATGGAAGACTCTACAATGAAACTGAAACATCTAAGAAATACGCTAAAGAGACACAGAGAGATGGAAAGCTTCCCCACGCTCGTGGATTAGAAGAAGCAATATTGTGAGAATGGCTATTTTATTGTTAGAAACCTACAGAGTCAATGAAATCCCAATGAAAACTCTCATGCCTTTCTTCACAGAAATAGAAAAACATTGTAAAATTCATATGGAAGTAAAGACACCCCTGACAGTCAAAGAAATCCCGAGTAAAAAGTGTATTGTTGGAGGTTATGCCATGCCTGTTTTCAAGTTACCCTACAGAGCCATAGAAATAAAGACAGCATGATACTGGCACAAAAACAGACTCGGATCTATGCTAGAGAGTAAAGGACCCAGCTATAGGCCATAAACTACAACCATCTGATTTTCAACAAAATCACAAAAGAAAAATCAATTGAAGAAAAGAGTATCTTCAACAAGCAGTGCTGGGAAACTGGACAGTTACATGTAGGACAACAAAATTAGATTCTTATCTCTCACCCTGCACAAAAATCTACCCCAAATAGACCAAGGACCTCAGCGTAAGACCAGACACTGCAAATTTATAGGAGAAAACATAGAGTCCACTTAAGACAGAGGCATAGGCAAGGACTTTCTGGATCAGATTCTTGTAGCTCAGCAAATAAGGGCAATAATGAATAATTGGAAACTCAAAAAACAAAAATATTTTGTATAAAAAATTGTCAGAAACTGGGAGCATAGGGACCTTGGTAGAGGGTTGAAGGAAAGGGGAGAGGCAGGGAGCGGAACAGAGAAAAATGTAGAGTTTAATAAAATTCAATAAAAAAGTGTCAGACAAAGAAGAAACACACTAAAGAATGGGAGAAAACTTTGCCAGTTAGAAATCTGATAGAGAATTAGCTACAATGTATAAAGATTTTTAAAGTAAACACTAGGAAAACAAACAACCCAATAAAAAATGGGCCATGAAATGGAACAGAGAATTCTCAAAAAATTAAAAAATGGCTAATTAGCATTTGAAAAAGTATGTAACATCACTGGCCTCAGAGATATGCAAATTAGAACTACTAAGGGGCTGCAGACCTAATGTCTGTCTCCCATTGTGGGGAGGGCTGTTTTCTATCCCTCCTATCTTGTATGCACTTGAGAGAAAAGTATCCCCAGTCCTGTTAGTCCTGTGCAGTCCACAGTCAGCTCGACATCCTCTGAGGAACCAGAGCCTCTCTACTGTCACTTAGGCTAGTGCTGTGAGATGCCGAAGCAGGTAAAGATCCTGACCGACAAGCCTGCATTACTGAGTTAGATGCTCTGAACCCTCATGGTGGAAGGATAAAACTGACTAAGCAAGTTCTCCTCTGGCCTTCACATGAACCTGTAAGTTAAATAAAATAAGTGCTTTAAATAAAGAATTTCAAATGTCCTTAAGGAATTCAAATTAATTCTGACGTACTATTAATGACTTAAAAAATATGTGATTATTGGTTTGCTACATACAATTATGTTGAACATTGAAGAACCTATTTCATTTACATTACCTGTCAGAATTATGACAATATGTAATCTACATCCTATCATTTTTTGTTAGACGGGCAGATATGGCAATTAAATTATATAAGTTCAGAATTTCAGAATAGTCAGACTATTGTCTTACTTAAATCTAAAAGCTATCACAAGGTGAGGTGCATAGTTTAGTGATAAAATGCTTGCCTAGCATCTACAAGGCCTGGGTTGGAGCCCTAGCCTTATGAGTAATTGAATAAACAGGCTATTGTATAATTAACTCATTTGTTTAAACAGTATGTATTTGTATTCTTATAAAATAAGATTAAAATAATCTGAATGTTAAAAAAAAAATTATTTGGAGACTATACCTCATCCCATGCCCAAAGCCTAAGATAAGACAAAACAAAAAAAACTACCACAAATCCTGTCAAGAACATGAGGAAAGAGTAACACTTATCCACGGTCAGTAGCTCTGGGTGACATGAGTTTGAACTAATTTTTGAGTATGTCTCTCTAAGGACAACTTTGGCATCTTCAGTCACTGTGTCAAGGAGAAGAAGTTGTAAGTAAAAGGTTTTCCTAAAGTAGAGACCTGTAGCCAAGAGCCCACCATTAAGTGAGGCAAATCTCTCCAAATATTTCAAAAGTTTTTCTTCTAATGTTTCCCTTTTCTTAGTGTCCAACAAATAAGGAGATTTAATGATTTTTTTCAGCTGTTCAGCAGGCACTTGCGAATCCTTAGCAATGACTTCCAGGGATGCATCGTCCACTCCAAAGAGGACTCGATAGTGGTTTAACTTCTCCTTCACCTTCTCCACATCATCCCTAAGGATGCCCACTACAGGAACAGTAGCTAAGAGTCCAGTCTTGAAGGCTTCTAACCAGATAGTCTGCTGCAGAGACTTGTGCTTTTTGTCAATCGTTGCTTCTGTGATATTAGGCAAGGAAAGCATAAAATTGTGGCGCTTTTGAGCAGGAAGAGCCTTTACCAGTGTGTCCATCAGGACTGGAAAATCATAGTCAGATAAATTGCTGTTAGAAATCAAGAAAATTTCTGGTGCGTCCAAGCCATTTTCCTTTAAGGTATCTATATAGGAGTTTCGGATTTGCAACAGGATATTTTTCCTGTCAAAGGTACGTGCTTTGGATTTCTTCTCATTTTGTAAATCATTGTCCACCTTGGTTCTTACAAAGTAGTAATTCTTTTTCATGAATTTGATTGCTTTGGCGAGGTCTAGTTCAAGTTTTGTAAAACGTGTGGCAGAAACAATAATGAAAAAATCATACTCTTGAAAATTCACTTTCTCCAGATAATCTTTCGGCGGAAAGTTCATAGTTCCAACACCAGGCAGGTCCCATAAAGTCAAAGTTTGAATTTTGGGGTGTTTGTATGCAGTTCTCCTCATAGTTGTCTCTACCACCCCAATGTCAGCTGCATCTTCGTCTTGAGGTCCTACCCCCCTCAAGGCATTGATCAAACTGGACTTCCCTGCTCCAGACTCTCCAGTGACAGCAACGTTTATTGGGATGTTATCAATATTTTTTAAAGCAGCACTGATTACAGAGTTTGCCCCCTGGATGTTTCCTTTTGTCAGGTGTAACTCAATTGATTCGATGGTTTCCTGGGGAATGATTTTGCTTTCTGTCTTAAATTTCTTGAAATATAAAGTGAAGCTGGACTCCAAATCTCCATGGTGTTCTTCCTTAGAGGAGGACTTACCCATGGCTGTGGTGAAAAGGGGCCCTGAAAGAAAGAGGGGAGAGTAAGTTGCAAGAGACTGAAGATGCCTTTGAGCTTAGCTCTGTGTTCTCAGTGCTGCAGCTTCAGTGATGTTCTAATGCTAACCAGTTCCCGTGTATTTGTGCTTTCTTTTTTGTCAACAAGATACAAACTATAGTCCTTCTGGAGGAGAAATCCTTATCTGAGGAATTGCCTCCATCCGACTGAACTGGGGGCACACCTATGGGGCATTTTCTATACTGAGGATTGATATGGGATTTCCCAGTCCACGGTGGGTGGCACACCCCTGGACAGGTCGTCCTGGGTAATTTAAGAAAGCATTATTTAACTGTAGTTGGACTTTTTCATGGAGACTACCACCTCCCCAATTATGACATGGGGACTTATTGTTAATTATAAAAGTTCATCCAATAGCTTAGGCTCATTTGTAACTAGCTCTTGTACCTTAAATTAACCCCATATCTTCTACCTACATCCTTTTATGTGGCTCAGTTACCTTTACTTTTTACTGTCATGCCGCTTCCTTTTAACTGCTCGTGGCTTTTCCTTTCTACCTCCCAGAGTTCTCTCTCTCTCTCTCTCTCTCTCTCTCTCTCACTGTCCTAGCTATCTCTCCTGCTAATTAATGGCCGTATAACTTTTTATTAAACAAATCAGAAGGCGCCTTGCAAAGATACATCTTTACAGTGTACAAAAAGATTATTCCACAACTTTGAACTATGCAGAGCAAGCCAGTAAACAACATTCTCCCATTGTTCCTGCCTGTATTCCTCAGGGTTTCTGCCCTGACTTTTTTCAACAATGGACTGTGTTCAGAATGTATAAGCCCCCAAAACTGTTTTCTTTTCAAAATGCTTTTGGTCACGGTGTTTATAAAAGAAATAGAAAGGAGAGTAGAAAAAATTCTACTAGCTCTCAGTTAAACCCTCAAATATGGAAAAATGAAAACTTAAGTAAAGCAAGGGAAAATAATATAAAAAGATACACAAGTCATTTAGCCAGCTTCAACAAGTATAAAAACATGAACATCTTTGTAGTGTCTAAACTAACTGTAAAATTCTATATGTGAAATCATATGTTTTCTCCATCTGCGCACACTTCCTTCAGTGTGTGCCTTCAAAATGAATGGAAATTTAATCAGCATATGCCTGGTTTTACACACTGAAAAATAAGTAACAATGAATGATACTTGACATCAGTATTTAATCAATGACAAACCTTTCTAATGATCACATAAATCTAATTTCTCTGTTTCATTTTTGTTTTCAAAAGATTTCAGTAACGTCAACTATTGGATTTTGTTGAAATAATTCTTTATTTGCCTAGATTTACTTTCCTTATGTCTTTTTCATGACTTAGAACTCATCCGCATGAAGAATATAAACTTGCGATAATATAAAATTCTTTACACTTAAAGTCCATGTTCAAATCCATTTCTTCAATAAAACATTTCAGTGTTCTCAAGTAATTATTTCAATTCACTATTTTCTCTTAACATTGTATTTTATGAAAACAATATAACTGTGTACTGTAGACACTGGTCAACTGGTAGAGAGCTTTCTCACCATGGATAAGGCTTTGGGTTCAGTCCCCAACACCTCATCAAATACAGGCGTTTGCAGATCTCTGTAATTCTGGTGTTCAGGAAGTAGAGGTAAGAAGGTCAGTACTTCCAGGTTATCCCTGGTACATAGTGAGTTAAAGGCTAGCCTCGGCTACTTAAGACCCTTTCTCAAAAAAAAATGAATAGAAAGTCCAGCAAGATGTCTCAGCATGTAAATAGACTTGCTGTGAGGCCTAAACACCTGAGCTAGATTGTTGAGTATTTAACTACTTCAGTCTCATATTTCTGACTTTTGTTCTCCACAAACCTGCCTACAAGATCTCCCATGGCAGCACAATGGGCCTCACCAACAGTTAAGGAGGCAGCAAATCCCCACTGTCTCCCTGGAGCCTCCTCTGTCTGTCTCACCAATATCGAATCAGTTCTCAGACTTAATCTCTATTTCCAAACCCACACACAACTGATCATCCCTTCTACACTATCTTCCTCCAGACCTCCTCAATTGCCGCTTCATTTATGTCAGCAACATTGCTATATTTCCTGTGATTGCTGTTGTAACAACATAGATAACCAAACTGGCCAAACCAAAAACAGTCTCATGCAAATCAGGGATCTCCATAGGATCATTCTGAGCACATGGGCCTGCATAAGCACATACAGACTCACTTCAGAGCAAGCAACTGTCCAATCTACAGGACAAACAGGGGCAGCTGTGCAGAAAACCAGAGCTGCAGAAAATTGTTCAGCCTGACTGCAGGCACAGGACAAAAAAAAAGGGGGGAGGGGAGAACGTCCGGAAAGAGAAGCTAGAATATGGTTGAATAAACACTGTAGCCAGATTTACTGTTGAGGGGGACAGTCACCCACAGGACACAGACAGAATGTCCCTAAAGCACACAAGGTGTTCTATCTTTTCAGTTTTCCCTTCTCATTTTTTTTTCAGCTCTAGCTCCTGGATCTGTCATGCAGACTCCAGTGATTGTTGTCTGCAAGGTCTTTCCACGGAATATGAACACAGGGAACAAGAAGGCTGTGACACAGCAGGCATTATAAGCTGATGCCTGATTTAATGTCACCACATTCTGACACAGTTCATATTCCTCACAGATGGAGAGAAGATCATTAACAGTCCTGCTTGACAATAAAGAAAATCACCACGAAGAAGATTCTTCAGGCTCAGTTTCCACAGTCAGCTACAACAGAAGCAGCATGTGGAGAGAACTCTTCTCCACATGCCAGAGGCCCCTGGATGTAAGGGATTAAACACTGACCATGAACTAGAAATCAAGATGAGTGTGAGATAGGACAACCTCATGCACACAGCAGAGACATTCCATTACCTGAAAACTATCTTTTTACAACCATTTTAGGGAGAGGAAATACAAGACCATCTAAAACAACTGTGTATGTTTTTGCTAAAACCAGTATCAAGATCATTAGCTTTAGGTCTAATTCAACTTTCGTAATTGACTAAGACCATCCACAAGCCTGTGCTGCCTGCCTCCCACCAAAGCTCCTTAACTTCCAACTGAGGCCCCTTACTCAAAGGGTATGTTCCTGAATGCTGTGTTACCTATCAGCTCTAATCAGAAAAGAAATGGTGAGGGTTCAAAGATAGATCTGAAGGTTCCTGCCCACTTACCAAACTGTCCTGTGTCCGAAGGATGCACTCACTGTAGTACAGCTGCAGGAACCACTGTCCACTGTGCTCCAGTCTCTCCACTTGCAGCCCCTCTCTACGTCCTTTGTGGAAAGCATCTGGTTCAAGGCTCCAGGGCGGGACTTATCACTCTTCTGACTTCTGCCCCTTCCTTCTCAGTGTATTTTGGCCAATCATCAAAGCGTATGGATCTTGCCATTTTTCAGAATCTCCTGCATTTCCAAGAAGAAGAAAGAGAAAATGAAACTATCAGTTGTTTTTCATTGTGTTCTCTCTTTGGTTTTGGCAGCAAATATTGGACAGTCTTAAAAGCGTCAAGGAGTGGAATGTGGGATTAGCACTGACAATGACCTGTAATGCCCAGGGAACTCACTGGAAAACACCTAAAAAAAATCAAACTACATCCTGGGACAGGGCTTTTTATTTGCTACCCTGTGGTGTCTGGCAGGGACATTGTTGTCCTAGTGGAGGGCAGCTCCATCTTAACTCTTTCATACATGTGCATAGACTATTTTAGGAAATGTCTGCAGTGGGAGATTTTCATGACTTGTGGGAAATCCTTCAGTGTTCTTTATCCCTCCCACTTTCCTTCCTCTACTTTATCTCTACCCCCTCACTCCCCATTTTAACCTTTCTTAAAAACATAATTTTCTTTTAAACCTTCCTACCAGTGCCTATTACTTCTCCTCTCTTGCTGGTCCCACCCCATGGCCACATAGTAATACAAAACCTCTGTGGGTGTTCCCAAGGGAACACTCATATTTGAACAGTGATAGCGAACATCCACAAATGAGAGGAATGAAATGATGTTTATCTTCCTGGGCCAGTTTTACCCCACTCAGAATGATAATTCCAGGTCCATTCACTTTCCCTTAGGTTTTGAAGTTTCATTTTGCTTAATAAATGAGAAATATTTAATTCTGTAGTGGGGCCACATTGCCATTATCCTTTCCTCAATTGATGCTGTCTAGGCTGTTCCCATTTCCCATCTAGAAATATCTATTGTGGGTAGAGCATGAATGAGCATGAATGAGGAAGTACCTCTCTGTAGTTGAATACAGAGTCCTTTGCCTTGGAGTGACACAGCTGGATCTTGTGTTAAATCTATTTTCACTGTCTGTGGGTCTTTTTCACCTTAGTGTCTGTACCAGTTTGCCCTCCCACCAGCAGTGACTGGGTGCTCTTCTTTCCACATATCCACAGGGCTCAGAAACCTTCTTTATAATTTGGGGAGTCAGTCTACAGTTTATTGATGATATGTGCATATTAAACAGCCCTCTGTGGATGGATGTTGAGAGGAGTATAGAGTTCCCAACTCTTATATTCTTCTCCAGCATGTTGTTTGCCTGCTTGCTGCCATAGTCATGATGTTCATGGACTGACCCTCTGATTCTCTAAGCAAGCACCCAATTAAATGTCTTTTTTTAATATGCTGCCTTGGTCGTGGTGTCTATTCACAGTCAAAGATAATAATCTAAAACACTGATTTCAAGTTATACTAGTAAAAATAGCATGGTCCTATCAAAAACACATAATTATCAATGGACTAGGACCAGGAGCCTAGGTATAAATCTGCATACCTACAGTCACCTGATTTTTGACATGTATGACAAAGATAAAAACTGGAGAATATATACTGTCTCTAAGAAACTGTGTTGTGAAAACTAGATATTTAATGTGAAGAAGTTGAAGCTACATTGCTATAACTCACCTTGTCCAAAATTCACTTTCAAATTAATCAAAGACTTCAAAGTTACACTAAAATTCTGCACCTTCTATTGCAAAATATAAGGAGTACATTTCAGAATATAGGCTCAGTTATGATCTTTCTGTATGGAACCTCTCTACACAGGGAATGCAGTCATCAATCAAAAAGTACAACTTCATGAAGTTAAAATGCTTACAAAGAGTGAAACTTTTATTCTAGTGTAACAGCATTCATGATAGGGAGAAAATCTTTAAAAGCATTAAATTAGTTAAAGGATTTCTGTAAAGAATATACAAAAACATTTTTAAAAACCTCTAAGAAACCAATTCAATTAAAATTGATTATGGCACTGACCAGAGCATTCTCAAAAAGAGAAACACAAACAAGAAATAATGAAGAGTGTGTTCAACATCCTAGCCATCAGGAAACCTCAAATTAAAACTACTTTGAGATTTCATTGAACCTGAGTCAGAATAGCACCTTCATCCAGCAACTGCTGGAAACAAATACAGAGATCTACTGGGCCGAGCTTCTGGAAACCAGCCTGACGGAGGGAGGAGAGATAATATGAGGAAAGGGGTCAAGACCATGATGGGGATACCCACAGAAACAGCAGACCTGAGTTATAAGAGCTCACTGGCTCTGGATTGATAGCAGGGTAACTTGCATAGGACCAAACTTGATCCACTGAATGTGGGTGACAGTTTTATGGTTGGGCAGTCGGTGGGGTCACTGACAGTGGGACCAGGATTTATCCCTAGTGCTTGGACTAGCCTCTTGGGGCACTTTCTCTTTGGAGGGATACCTTGCTCAGCCTAGATATAGGGGAGAGGGCCTTGGTCTTGCCTCGAACTGTCAGACTTTGTTGACTCCCCACGGGAAGCCTTATCATTTCTGAGGTGTAGATGGGGGAGTGGAGGGAAGGGTGGAGTATGAGGGGAGGGAACAGGCATGGGGATAGAAAAGATTATATTTAAAAATTCTTAATTAATATATATTGTTAAATATATATTAAATATACTAAATGATTTGTTGAATTTGTGTAGGGAAAAAAGAAAACACACAAGACTCTGGCCAGGGAAGCAGGTGGGCTAACTGTTGATCTTCACCTTTCCCTCCCCTTCTCCAAATGCCGAAAAGTAAAACAAAACAAAACAAAAAAACAGGCCTTTTAGGGATATTAAACCAAATGTAAATAGCAGATTACAATAAGACTAAATACAATCCCTCATATCAATGATATATGAGGCTTCCCAGCAGAAGTAAAAGGGTTCCAAGTGCAGGCAAAAGAGTCAGAGACGCCCCGACTCCCACTGTTAGCAGTCCCACACGAAGAGAAGAAACATCTTAATGGAGGGTATTGTGGTCGATCTTAATGTCAACTGACCACAGATTAGAACCACTTCATAGGAAACCTCAGCTGAAGAAGTTTTCTGATTCTCTTGGTTGGTGATGGAAGACCCACCCAGATGACAAGGATACAGCAGGGGATCAATCCCTTGCCTTGGGCTGGCTTGGCCTTTCCTCTAACTGCAGGTTGATTAACTCTGTTTCTGCTGCTGGTTCCGTCATTGGTATCAGAACTAACACTTCCAGGAATCCCTCTGGACTCTGGAGTCTGCAGAAAGCTTTCAGATTTCTGTGCCAGATTGGAACTGTGGAGGTGCTCTGCCTTGTGCCTGAGCAATCATGTGATTGCTGCTCTGCCTAGTGAGAGACAGTCATGGTGGGGTTCCCCTGACTGCTGAGGCACGCCCCCTCAAGTATGGAGCAATTAGTAAGTTCTCAGCCTCTTAGCTGGTTCCAGCTGTTGATACCATTTCAATGTAAGCTGTCTAATACATTGTTGTATATTAAGTACATATTATACTCGTATTCACTCCACTGAATCTCATCCTTCAGAGAACCCTGACTAACAACAAGGGGTTTGGAAGAGCAAGAGTGATATGAAGAGTGGAGGTGAACAATGGAGATGAGTTTAAGTGGGGAGGAGGGTGGAAGGGCAGAGGAGGAGGGAGTGGGGGAAGGAATCACTAACTGAGCATGTCTGAAAACACTGTACTGAATCCTACTACTTTATGTGTGCTTAAGGAGCTCAACTGGAGTTACTGTGTAGGAGTGAGTGGGTGATGTTCATTCAGGAAGACACAGGTTATCAAATGGAAGCTGAGTGCAAGATGTGGAATACCCATCGTGTGTTGATCAGAGGTCCCAGAGATCCTAAACGCCCCTGATGTGGTGATCAGGGAGGTCCCAGAGATCCTAAACACCCCTGACGTGGTGATCAGGGAGGTCCCAGAGATCCTAAACACCCCTGACGTGGTGATCAGGGAGGTCCCAGAGATCCTAAACACCCCTGACATGGTGATCAGGAAGGTTCCAGAGATCCTAAACAATACAGGCTACTACTATTTCTCTTGATTCACCAGAACCCAGTGGTAAGATTCTATTGCTGAAGACACCATACATGTTAGTGATAGGATATAGAGAATTTTTGGTACTGACCAGAAAGCTTCCTGCCTTCTAACGAGCACTCAGTGTTGGAGAGTCCTGTGCAGGCTGCTGAGGGAGAACGGTCATCAATATTCTTACCTGAGTGACCCCTGACTTTTTTTCCAAGTCCAGTCCCCGTGGGAAGAACAATTAGATTCCTCTCCTGCAGAAATCTTGGCATCTAAATTGACTACTGTCCCATGTCCTCAAGACCCAAGGCCCAGCTCTGCCATTTCCAGCTTACTTCCCCTACCTTATACTTGGCTTTACAGAGATGAGTGACTGCCTTGTCCTTTAATCTCAGCGTTCAGTCACAGCCGCAGCATGCCTGCCACTGTGGGGTCTGAAATGCTGTATTGTTAGCAATGATGACTCATGTTGGACTAGAGTCCTGTTCTACCAAGTGTGAGTCTATGGAGCATCCCTTTCCTATTAGAGCCATGCCAGTGCTGTGCTCTGTTCCATGGGAATAAAGTTATTGCTACATCCCTTCTCCTGGAAATGAGCTACTGAGTCATTTTTAGAATCCAAGATTGTGTGTGTGTGTGTGTGTGTGTGTGTGTGTGTGTGTAAATGTATATGAGATCTGCACTCTCCTGTGCCACAAGAATAGATATGAGCCCGGGTCCTATGTGACATGGACCCTGAGCCAAGGACGCTCACTTCTGCAGCTCCAAACATATCTGCCTAGCTGGAGCTTCCATCCCAGTTGTACTGGGACTTTGAATACTAGAAGAATGACTGAGTGACAGAATGTAATGAATATATGGGGAACTGGAATAACCTAGGACATGTGGTGGTGACTTAGGCCAGGGAGGCTTTGACATGAACACAGTCATACCTAGTAATGGGGAATCACTAGAGTGATGGGATTAGAGGCATGATCCACATTGACTCACTTGGAAGAGGAACTCTCAATTTGGAATTGCCTCCATCAGATCTGGTTGTTCATATGTCTGTGGGGGCATTCTCTTAATTGATTAATTGATATAGGAGGAGCCAGCCCACTGTGGTGAGTCCCATCCCTAGGAATGTGGTCCTGGGTAAGAAAGCAGGGTGAGCGAGCCCTGGAGAGCAAGTCAGTAAGCAGTGTTCCTTCCCAGTCTACTTCAATTCCTGCCTCGATTTCCCTTGATGGTGGACTGTAATCTGCCAGTCAATGAAATCATTTCCTCCCTAGGTTCCATTTGGTTAGGTTTAATCACACTATATGAATGCATATATTCCCTAAATGTAGCCTGTTCAGCCTGTGTAATCTTAGTTGTACGTATGCTCTCATGACTGACCATTTGGACTGGAGAACTAATAGGTGTGCTCTGTCTGGGAAGATGGGCTCTCAGTTTTCATTTGGGGCTATCATTTTTCATGAAGGGTTGAGTCCTCACAGACTTTTCCTTGTCAAGTTTGACATGTTCATCGGTCATCCTTTCTCAGATCACATCTAGGCAGTGAAACAATAGCCCACTAAGTCGAACTGGTGCTGCCCACATGCCCGTGGGTGAAGGTAGAATTCATGGGAACATGGGTGACTACCATGGGCCATCCTCTTAAAAAAAACTGACTCTCCTCCCTCAGCATCCATCAACTGCCTATGGCTCCTCCGATAAAAGGGGGGTTCCATTTCTCTTTCTCTTCAATGCTGGCTTGAATGTGTGTGGGTTGGTACCCAGCAACCACTGCTTCTGGGAGCTCATGACCACAACTGCTCTGCCACGCAAGGAAGACACTAGTGCACAGCTTATCTGATCTCTGGCTTTGATGTTTTTTCTTCCTCTACTTTGTTGTGCTCTTTAGGCTTTGTGGGTGAAAGCTGTATGGTACAGATGCCCTATTTAAGGCTGGACACGCCACTGTTACTTTCTGTCAGAGCCTCTGTCAGCTGCCCTGTGCATCTATTCAGGGTTTTGTTTGTACTCAATGGGAGAGACAGTGTGAGTACTCATATCTCACATTGCTTGTTAGAAGAACACTGACTCTATATAATTTGATTTATTGTTTTTAGTGAGCTATATATTTTTCTCCATTCCCCACCCTTCCACTCACCTCCCCTTCTACCTTATCCCATGGTCACCATGCTCCCAATTTACTCAGGAGATCTTGTCTTTTTCTACTTCCCATGTAGATTAGTTTCATGTACGTCTCTCTTAGGGTCCTCATTGTTGTCTAGGTTCCCTGGGATTGTGATTTGTAGGCTGGTTTTTCTTTGCTTTATATCTAAAAGCTACTTATAAGAGAGTACATATGATGATTGTCTTTCTGAGTCTGGGTTACCTCACTCAAAATTGTATTTTCAAGCTCCATCCATTGCCTGCAAATTTCAAGGCGTCATTGTTTCTTTCTGCTGTGTAGAACTCCATTGTGTAAATGTACCACATTTTCCTTATCCATTCTTTGGTCGAGGGGCATTAGGTTGTTTCCACATTCTGGCTATGACAAACAATGCTGCTATGAACATAGTTGAGCACATGTCCTTGTGGTGTGGTTGAGCATCCTTTGGGTAAATATCCAAAAGTGCTATTGCTGGGTCTTGAGGAAGGTTGCTTCCTAATTTTCTGAGAAATAATCATAATGAAATCCAAAGCAGTTATACCAGTTTGCACTCCCACCAGCAATGCAAAAGTGTTCCCTTTACCCCACATCCTCTCCAGCATAAGTTGTCATCAGTGCTCTTGATATTAGCCATTCTTACAAGTATAAGACAGAATCTCAGAGTTGTTTTGATTTGCATTTCTCTGATGGCTAAGGATATTGAGCATTTCGTTAAGTGTCTTTTAGCCATTTAAGATTCCTCTGTTGAGAGCCCTCTGTTTAGGTCTGTATTCCATTTTTTGTTGGACTATTTGTTCTTTTGATGACCAATTTTTTGAGTTCTTTCTATATTTTGAAGATCAGCCCTCTGTCCAATGTGGGGTTGGTGAAGATATTTTTTTCTGTTTTGTCTTGTTGACTGTGTCCTTTGCTTTACAGAAGCTTCTCAGTTTCAGGAGGTCACATTTATTAATTGCTTCTTACAGTGTCTGTGCCACTGGGGTTATATTTAGGAAGTGGTCTCCTGTGCCAATGTGTTCAATGTGTTCAAGTATACTTCCTACTTTCTCTTCTATAAGGATCAGTGTGGTTGGTTTTATTTTAAGGTCTTTAATCCATTTGAACTTGAGTTTTGTGCATGGAGATAGATGTGGATCTATTTTCATTCTTCTACATGTTGACATCCAGTTATGCCAGCACCGTTTGTTGAATATGTTTTCTTTTTCCATTTTATATTTTAAGTGTCATTATTTTATTCTATTAATATTTATCTGATTTGGTTATGAGTTTTTCCATGGTTAGGAAATATTTTTTAGTTTTTTCTAATCTCTTGCTCTTCTCTCTTCCCCTCCATGACTTTTCCACTCTCTCTTTTGTTCCTTCATTTATTTAACTTTGTTTCTCAAATTTTTTCTATTTCCTTACCCCTTTCCTTTGTCACAAGGGGAAGAGAAAGAATAAAAGTTTCTTGCTCTGTTTAACACAGAGGCACTTTCTGCTTTTTTGGAGCTGGCATTGTTCCAACAGAAGCCCTTTATTTTGTTCCAAAAAGCAGCGCCAGGCACCTAAGCTGAGGGAGCAAGCAGCATTTGTGTCTGGCCACAGAACTGAGTACAAACAGCAGGAAGCTCCGTTTTTTTCCTCTCCGTGTCCCAAGTCTCTATTAAGTCCAGATGCTTAAGCTTTTGTTTCTATTTCTAGAATCAGGAAAGGGGTACCGGGCAAAAGAAGGTGTTTGGGAACCAGTCATGAAAAGGGGGTTGAAGGAAAAAAATTCCAGAAGGTTGTCCAAGGCCAGCGGGGCTCAGCCCAAGCTAGATGCTCCCGCTCTTTCCATAAACAGGATGTACATACCAAGAGCTTTGAAAAGTGTGGAATAGGCTGGCCGCGCTGGTATAAAGCTGTCCACTAGATGGAGCAAGCTTGAACCAGCTTTCACTAGCATGGGCAAGGCTTGGGAAATAATGAATCTGCCGGCACCAAATAGCACACATCAGGCAGAAAAGGAAAAGAAAAAAACAAACAAAACAAAAAATATGGCTGACCTCATCAGGTCAAAAAGAAATTAGTGTTTTCCATAGAGGCATAATAATCAAAACTTCCAGAAGACCATTCAAAACTGCCATTCTCATGAAGACATAGCAAGGGCAATCAGAACATCTCTCAGAGAAACAGTAAGTTAATAGACCTGTCAAATTTTGCTTTAAAAATAAAGTTGGTAAAATGAAAAAGACATGTTACTGACTTGGAGAAAATATTTACAAATTAAAGACTCAGACCTTATGCTACTGAGAGAACTCAGTCGGGGGTGGGAGGGGAGCAGACCAGGCTCTCCTAGTAGCCTGACAGAAATCTAAGCCTTAGTTTCGGTTGACTAAACGGGACAGAGCTAAGTGACAGCCCTCCGAGAAACCACAGCCTTCTGCTGGCTCAGCAGACCCCCAGGGTTCCCTCTGCTGGCTCAGCAGGCGCCCCCCCCCCCCAGTCTCCTAATACCTAAAGACAATTTTCCCTAGCCTAGCTGGAAGGTCCCTAACCACTAGGACCATCCATCAATCAGTCCCCATACTAATCTTTCCTCCACCAATCAGCCCCAGATTAATCCCTTCCCTGTGGAATTCCCCTAATGCCACTTAAAAGGGACTTCTGATCTTCTTTGGGGGTTGCCAAGTTGCCACCCCAACACTGGAATTAATAAATGCTCTTATTATTGCATAAGTGACTGCTGGTCTTCTTTGGAGGCTTCTCTTGGACCCTAACAGGGACTTTTGCTCAACTATGCTCATAGCAGCATTTGTAATAGCCAGAACCTGGAAACAACCTAGGCGCCCCTCAACCGAAGAATGGATAAAGAAAATGTGGTACATTTACACAATGGAGTACTACTCAGTGATTAAAAACAATGACCCTTGAAATTGAATGCAAATGGATGGAACTAGAAAAAAACATTCTGAGTGAGGTAACCCAGATCCAGACAGACGAACACAGTATGTACTCACTCATAAGTGGATATAAGACATAAAGCAAAGGATAATCGGCCTATAGTCCACGATCCCAGAGAAGCTAGAACCTTCATCCAGCAACTGATAGAAGCAGATAGAGACTTCCAAGCAAAGGACTGAGTCAAGCTTCTGGAGACCAGACTAAGAGAGGGCAAAGGGGGCAAGACAGTGATGGTGATACCCACAGAAACAGCTAACCTGAGCTAGTGAGAGCTCACTGACTCTGAACTGAAAGCTGGGGGAACCTGCATAGGATCAAACTAGACCCACTGAGGCTTGGACAGTCTGTGTGGTCACTGGCAGTGGGACCAGGATTTATCCCTAGTGCTTGAATTGGCATCTTGGAGCACATTCTCTTTGGAGGGATACCTTGATCAGCCTAGATATAGGGGGGAGGGCCTTGGTCCTGTCTCAAAGTGATATGTCAGAATTTGTTGATTCCCCATGGGAAGCCTTACCCTTAAAGAGGAGTGGATGGGAGGGCAGAGGAGAGGTTGGGCAGGAGAAGAGGAGAAGGTGAGAACAGGAATAACTATATAAAATGAGAAAAGATTGTACTAAAAAAATTCTTACATCAAAAAAAAAAAGAATCAGACCTTATACACAACATATAAAGATTTCCTAAAACTCAATAGTAAGAAAGCAAGCAACTCGATTTTCTAAACAGGGCTAAAACTTAAATAGTCAGATTAGCAAAAAGAAACACCCATGTCAACTAAGCACTTGACGATACAGTCACCATTGGGAAAATTCAAATTAAAAATTCATAAGGATTCCAAATGTGAATTAAGACACTTAGCAAGTATAACCTTGCCTCACGCTGCTGGGAAATAGTGTGCCAGTCTTTGATAACATAAATTCCACATTACCCAGCATTCCTGATGCTAGGTACTTACCAAAGAAAAATAAAACGAGGCCGGTGAGATGGTTCAGCTGGTAAAGATATTTGCGGCCAAACGTAGACACCTCAGTAAAATCTCTGGGAACCACATGATAGGAGAGAACTAATGTCAGCAGGCTGTCCTCTCACCTCCACCTATGTGCATAATATGCACTCACATAAATTAATTAATTAAGGAGAGATGAAACGTTGCATTCATATAAAACATTATACAGAGGGCTGGAGAGATGGTTCAGTGGGGCATAAGGACCTGCATTCAAATCTCAAGTGTATGCTAGTAACCCCTGATTGAGGGTTGCGGGGAAGGGATAGGCAGAGCCCAGAAACTTGCTGGACAGCCAGCCTGTCTAAAATGGAAAGCAGATCATTGAGAGACGCTGTGTCAGGGCAATGAGTTAGAGAATGACAGAGGACAAACACACCAAGCTTTCTCTGCCCCCTGAATATTCACACATACTCACATGCATGCACCATACACAAGTACAACACACACACACACACAATTTTAAAAAACCTCTGCATATATAATGGTTATACGTTCCTAAATTCAGAAGAATTTGAAAGCAATCCAAATACGCATCTGTTAGGTAAGCAGGATGCGGCACAAGACTGTAACAGAACAGAAACCAGTGGATACACAGAATAAAGTACATCTGAATGCATACGCTTTCAAAGAAACAAGCCTCAAAGGCATGCACACTCCAATACTGACCTAGCATTCCAGAAAAGGCCAAACTACACTGTCCAAGAATAGATAGGTGGTAGCTCTGAATCAGGAAGATAGGTGATTCTACAGTCAGAAAGAGCACACAGTGTCTTAGGGTAGCAGAACTACTCTGTTCCCTGCTTCCTCATCAAAGCCATGGGAACAGCTGTCCCTGATAGTTCCCCTACAACATTTGAAACCAACTCTCCCATACTTTCCCTGATGATGAGCTGAAACTGAGCCAAAAGAAACCTTTCCTCCTTCCCGCTGGGACAGGTGCTTTGGTGACAGGGGTGTAACAGTACCCAACACCCAGCCCAAGTGAACAAGACACATACATTCCCCTGCCAGTCTCCCCACTCCCCTTCGGCGTTTGCCTCTTTACTACAGTGCTCTCCCTGGGAAGCTTTGTTCTCTCTCTCTTTGGCTTCCTGGTTGCCTGCTCAGTCCTCAGCCCGTGTGACTGGACCCTTCCTTCATATTGCATGGGCCTTTCCATCTCCTTGATTCTGTCCTTT